CTCCAAATGACGCAGACGGCGACAGCAAACATCTGCCCGGACAAACAACCCCACCCCAGCAGACCCCAGCTTTCGCTTTGAAGGACTCTTCAAGTATAGCCAGGGTAATTCAAGTAGCTGCTGTCAGCCGGGCAGAGTATTTGCGTCTCCGTAAGGAACAGCATTTCTGGTCGAGCCGTCTCAAGATGTTGGTGGACGGCGTGGATGTTACTGTGGAGTCCTCGAATGTTCGTGAACTCCACCTTAAAGAGCGCTTTAGTGGTGGGGGTGTGCACCGCTGTACGACCGAAATTTGTACTTTGCGCTATGTTGGAGGGAAAAAGAGGCGTGAAGCGAGAAAACAGTGCCGCGACACAAGCGGTCAAATCGCGGGGCCTGCTTCCCCAGAGACTTGCCTACAGACAAGTTGCGCTGATCCGCGGACGGAAGGGCCCCCGAACCCCCCCGGGAATGGCCGCCGGGACCCCACCTCCCGGTCACCAACCGGCACAACGAACCACACCGAGATTATGCGCGGTATGGTGAGGCAACCTCACGAGCTGGTTAAGCACGCTTGGGCCTCTGTACTGTACCGCGGGCGGCCAGCGGAACAACTGTTTCTACGGGTCTCCCTGGCCGGCGGGTCAATGCAGTTGTCCTGGCACTGGGTCGGCGGAAGCCTCCACAGACCACAAATGTCGCGGCAGCGTTACCTCGGGCTCTGGTTGTACGCTGACTGATCCCGGAACGCATCCGACTAGCGAACACCAGCCGAGTTTTCAAGCCCTACCACCAGTGGAGCAGCTGGTAGCTCAATATCCCTTAGTCGCCTCTTACGACACCCACGGGAAGAGAGGGGCTGTGAATTGTATTCTAATCCGTCACCGCACGGTATAAAAAGTCTTGTCGGCGTTTAAAAAAAATACAAATCTCAGAAATATATATTGAGGGAAACGTCAGTAAATCGTGCTTTTGGAAGTAAGGACGGCAATTATCTGTTTCTTTAAGGTTTACTGTTAATTATGTTAATAAATTTACTTCTACTATTAACTAGTTTACTATTAAATACAAAATATTTTTTTTTTGCGACGTAAATATGGATGATGCTTCAGTACTTATTGCCTCACAGCACTATACCGTAACTTAACCATGAAAAAGCATACGCATAATACACAGAAAGAGCAGTAGAGAAGTCTGTGATTTTTTTATTTCTCATAGAGCGCGTGTAAATCGAGATATCTTAGTAGCGATTTTTTGCATGTGTTTTTTTCCAATTTATGTGTTTATCGATATCTAGACCTAATAAAGTTGATTCATTGACTAATTTAATTTAGACTTCATTGTACTTAAATTTAAATTGTAAATACTTTTCCGCGGGGGATGAAAGATCATTAGTTTAGTTTTTGTAAATTTTGTTCTTGCAACCACGTCGTAACAGTGTTCATAATAACGGTTAGTTTTTCTGATAGCTTTGTACTGTTTTCACATTTTGTTGAAAGTGAAATATCGTCAGCGAATAAGACACAATGTTCATTAATCAATTTCGGTAAATAGGCCAAGAATCATCATCAAGACATCCGATTACACTGCCTTGAGGGATGGACGAATTTACAATTTTTTCTAACAGTTGTTATTAATGTTTCATAATGGTCAATGCTCAAAAAAAATATCTGTCATAATGGTCAATTTCCACGAACTGCACTCTATTTTTTAAATATGAGCAAACCATTTATATGTTATATCGCGGATACCGATGTCATTTGGTTTATTTAGCAAAATATCATATTGGACTCTGCTCTGCTGTATCCAAAGCTTTCGTCATACCCAATATTATATCAACAGTGTATTTTTTATTGTCGAGTATATTTAGGATTTCTTGCACGTACCTAGTTATAAATTGCTAATTATTTTTACGAAATCCATTTTGGCTGTCATCAAAAACGTTGTATTTTTCGCAGAACGAATACACTCTATCTATCACAGTAAATAGATACACTTTCCCAAAATTTTTGAAATCGTTGGTAAAAGGGAAATTGGACGATAACTTGAAGGAACTGTTTTTTTTAATCTATTTTATGGATAGGTTTTATTATTGAGATTTTTAGTAGACGATAAGACGATATTTCACTTTTAACAAAATGTGAAAACAGTACAAATCTATCAGAAAAACTAACCGTTATTATGAATACTTTTACGACGTATGTTGAGAATTTCAGGAAGTTCCAAATAAAAGAGACTTATGAATATAAAAAAGGGAACACCGTGCATTGCCGAGTGTAATCAGCTAGTTATAATTACAAAGAAAATTGCGTAAGTTGGCTTGTGTACGTTTGCTATTGTGAAACCGTCAGGCGCACAAATTTTGTTGCAATAATTATAATCTTTGCTTTAATATGCCGCGCGTTGAATGCTTGCACTTCAACCAGAAGAATTAAGGATCTTCTAACTATTCCAGTAGCCGTCTTAATATCCGCCACTCTTGAAATCTGGTCCAGTCCAGGATATAAAACAACAATGCGTATGGGGCATACCCACGGACATTATACTTATGTGCATTAGTTTTATACTAAGTAGTCGAGACGTTGAGACATTTAAAGTGGTAGGATCCTTTACGAAAGGAGCAAGTCATACGCTCAGTTATATTAACGTGCCTTTTTCATGCTATTCAGTTCATGTTGACAGGTCCGTCAAGTTGCACGTGGCATAATGATCAGTACAGAGTACTAAAAAACCGACCTCAAATGTACGTGGAATTACGTCTATTTGCTAAGTTTTATTGAAATATCCCCTAGTTCGCCACTATACAGGACTTGACTTCGAGGTGGATTATTTTCTTCAAAATAAAATGGGAGCACTATGGAATTTCCCCCTTTCCAACAAAAAAAGAATCATGAAAAACGGTTCACAAATACCGGAGTTATCGCGTAACATACATACAAAAAATGCAGTCGAATTGAGAACTTCCTCCTTTATTGAAGTCGGTTAACAATGCATAACTTTTTAGACTAGCTGGTAAGAATAATTAAGTTATTTTAGTGAAGCGGTCTAATTGTACTTCCATAGTGGTCCCATTTCATTTTGAGGAAAATCATCTACCTCGAAGGGTGGCTGTTATTTTTATAAATAGCGCCTAACTTTAATTTAGGAGCAATTACTTGAATGGTTGATTTTGCTATTTCTTCAATTCAAGGCGTTTTTCTCTCAATGTACTTTGAGTAGTGAGAACCGATATTTATTATTTCCAGTGTCAAGTCCTGTATAGTGGCGAATTTAAGGATATTTCAATAAACTTAGCAAATAGATGTAATTCCACGTACTTTTGAGGTCGGTTTTTTTTAGAAATCTGTACTGAGATTATTTTCAGTTGGAATTTAAAACTTTGATGTTTCGCACAAGTTTCGCATTGACAGATGAGATTACGTTCCGTTCAACCAACCACGTCACGGAATAGTTTTACACCAATCCGCAAAAATTAACAAATTTCATCGTTGAAATTTTCCATTACGTTGGAATGCAATCATAGCTTGTAATATCACCTAAAACACTTTGCACTGTTAATATTTGTAGTTATCGATGATTTGCAGCAAAAATATATTGAATTCTTGCTGCAACTTGCGCGGCTGCCGAAGAAAAAAACCCGATCTATAGGTTCAAGTTTCGCAACGTATTTTGACGAAATTACGCAAAAACGGAAGACCACAAACTTGCATGTACAAATAAAATGCAAGTTGAATTTACAATGGACTGTATATAAATTTATAGCTTAAATTTAGACCTGCCGTTAAAAGGGAATTTTTGAGAGAAGAGAGCTGTTTTTTTTTAATTTATTTCTGGCCATGGAAACAAAGTCCTTCAGCCGAAAACAAAGATAAGTTTTTCTGTAAATATGGCCGCCACAAAGAGGATACGCAATTTGAGGCGGCGTGCTTGGATTGACTCGGGATTCCTTAGAAGGGGCCGATACCGGGTATTTTAGTTCGAGATTCGTATAATTTCGCGTTTTAATCTTCGATTAAGGCACAATAGCACTATCCTATTCCACTTTAAACTAGATTTCATAAAATAATTGAAAGTCAAAATAAAAACGACACTTTTCCCTCCAAAAGGTCCAGAGCGAATCAGAGAAGAGAGCGAAAAAAACAGTGTTGCCTGACCAAAAATAAAAATGGAACATTGCCATAATCTTTATCTATTAATTTTACTTTTTTGTATTTGATCATCAAGATTATGCTATACTGTACGTGTAGCTAAATAAATTAGTTACGACCATAGATTTTGTTTTTATAAACCAAATCTGAGCTTAATTATAGGCCATATCACTTAGGGGCTCGGTATTACCCAACTCTCCCTTAATACCGAAAGTGGCTGCGATCCAGGCGGTATTTGAATCCGCGTCAGTCGACACGGTGTCCGCTGCCTCATCCGTTCGACCACCAGTTGGTGAGAACTGAATGTCGAAAAAGACCATCGCTACATAATTTACGCTTCGGGTCACTAAACGAAAAGATACAAACAAAATAAGATAGTCGCTATTTTATTAGTAATTACTTAAGGCAGGGTTAATAGTTAGTGCACACTCCGCGTATTAGCTTGGTGCAGCAAGCGAACAGCTAGCTACAAGTGAAAACTGAAAATCAGCAGTGCTGAGTATTAAACATTTTTGTTCGCATCACTCAATTGTATTTTCTATTCGTATTTAAATATTGTATTGTAACGATTTCTAAGAATAATTATTGCCCGTGATGGACGAATCTACCCTTGCGTAATCGTCTCATAACAACACCGAGTGCACAGGCTTATGGTTAGTGTTTCACGAGTTACCAAGTACTATATTTTGCATGCGCCTCCACAATGTCAGTAATGAAATGTATAACGGAGAGTTATCGCTCCGGATAACGCAGGCCGCAGGGCAGGCCGTGTGACGCCCGCCATGAGAGACGAAACGACGCAGCTGCGTGGAACGGAGCACCTACGGAGCGGCGGCAGAAGGCGGCGGGGGCGGTGGGGGCGGTGGGGGCGGCGGTTGCGCGGGCTGCCACAGCGCGCCGTAGCCCAGCGCCGCCAGGAGCGAGCCGCCCAGTGGGCCCAGCCAGTACACCTGCGGTCACGTGTGGCCACAACACTAAACTATCGGCAATATGAGGACTACTCCTCCCTCAGTTTTCCTTTACTTCAATGGTTCCACTCGCGACGGCTACGCTCCCTTGAACGAAGCGTCGTCGAATTAAATAAATAAGTAACGTGATCTCCGACTGCGGCGCGTCGAGCGCGCGGTGTATGTACTGGGTCAAGAGCACGTCAAGCTTTACATTCAAGACTTAAATCCAACTCTATGCCACTTACGATAAGAACGGTCCAAAGTACAAAGCGTCAAGCTTGATGTAGGTACTTTTGACTGTACTTACTTACAACAAACGAAGGTGTATGATGAATATTATTTTTACCGTTACAATGGTTACAAATGCGACAAAAGTAGGTCACTGCCCGGTTTGGATTCGCAAATTTGGAAGTTCTGGCCGGTTGAAAACTTATATTAAACAAAATACGTTACCAAATTATTATTACCTACCATGAATTTATTAGAGAAGTTGAAGATCACATTTATTTTTGTACTGTACTACTTGTCTGTCTGCGCGCCCGACTCCAGTGGAAAAAGGCCCGTAGAAGGCGGCGAGTCACCGTCGACGAGAGAGAGGGAGCCTATACGGAGTACCGGGACGCTGCGAGGGCGCTTAGCCTCGCAGTAAAAGATGCCATAGTTCGATCCTGGGGCGAGCTCCTCGAGGGACTGCAGAGGGATCCATGGAGGCGGCCATACAAAATGTCGAGTGAAAAAAATCAAGTGTCTCCGTACCTCAAGCGAGTTGTCAGGTCCTACCTATGCGACGGGTACATTTCGTACCCGGGTCGGGATGGCGCAAGCCATCGCAGAGAGGTCGTGTGTGGGGTTCTTCAGGGGTCTGTCCTTGGACCACTCCTTTGGAAACTCGCATACGATGCTGTCTTGAGGGTCGCACTCCCCCCAGGCGTGCATCTGGTGTGTTATGCTGATGACACCCTGGTGCTCGCCGGAGGGGAGGACTTCGAGAGGACCATCGGGCTCGCTGAGCTCGGGGTTTCTCGCGTCATCAAAAAAATCGAGGAGCTGGGTTTGCGAGTAGCGCCTCAGAAAACTGAGGCGCTGTGGTTCCACAAACTCCCGCGAGAGAGGGAACCGCCCAGCTTCTCGATTCGCGTTGGTGACATCGACGTCCAGGTGGGGCAGTACTTAAAATACTTGGGCCTCATCCTGGACGGTCGCTGGGATTTCGAGGAGCACTTCTGGCGCCTGTTTCCCCGGATCGATAGGGTGGCGGGTGCATTGCACCGGTTGCTGCCCAACCCGGGGGGCCCTTCGGAGGGAGTTCGCCGTTTATAGGCACCACCCCAGGTGCGATCCGTGGCTCTGTATGGGGCACCCGTCTGGTCACACCGACTGACGGGCGTCCGGCGTTGTAGAGCCATGCTCAATGGCGTGCAGCGCTGCATGGCCATAAGGATCGCACGAGGATACCGCACCGTATCCTTTGACGCGGCGACTGTCCTGGCGCGGTTTTCCCCGCTGGACATTCTGGCGGAGATGGACGCGCGTATTTACGCGCGCCTATGCCAGGCGGAGGAAGCTGCGCCGCCGGAAGTGTGGTGGCAGGAGCGCCGACGGGCGTTCGAGAAGTGGCGCGAGAGCCTGGAACAGCCGTGGATTCTGTCCAACCTAGAAGTCTGGTTGAGCCAGCGGAACTGCGTCACCACGTTCCGGATACTCACCGGCCACGAATGCTTCGGTGAGTATCTGAATCGGATCGGACGCGAGTCGACGACGCAGTGCCACCACTCTGGGAGGGACCAGGATTGCGCCCAGCACACGCTGCAGGAGTGCCCCGCATGGGCCTCCGAGCGAAACATCCTGGTTGCCCGGATCGGGCGAGATCTCTCTCCGCCAGGCATAGTAGCGGCTATGTTGGCAGATCAAGAGTCCCATGAGGCAGTGGTCTCCTTCTGTGAAGCGGTTTTGCTTCAGAAGGAGGTCGCCGAGCGCGATCGGGAGAGGGCAGATCCCGCTTGGCGGCGGCGTACCTTCGCGGCTGCAGGCGATCGGAGCGGGGGCTTCGTTCGCCAGTAAGTTAGGCTGCCGCGAGGGCGGCAATATTAGCGGAGACTGCCAAGTCCTCTAACCTCAAGGGGACGGTGGTCAAAGCCATAAAAGAGGCTGTCAGAAAGGTGGAGGGAGCCGTCGACGGAGGCGGCGCGGCGGATGTCGGAGGACAACCGTCGGATGAGGGGGCAGCTCGCTGCCCTAAAGGCAGAGGTGAAGGCCCTGAGGGGGGGCCTATTCCTCCGCCATGGCCAAGGCCAAGGCGCAGGTGGCCCCACCGCCGAGCAGTTCCGCGGAGATGCACACGGGGGTGAGGGAGGCCATTGATGACCTCAGGCGCGACATCTTCACCTCGATGAGGATGAGGAATATGATGGACGCCCGCCTGAGCGACATCGAAAGGCGCCTCCCCGCGGAGTCCCTAAGGCCCCCACTGGCGGCAGAAGAGGATCGCCCGCCGACGAAACAGTGCCCGCCGCCGCTGCAATCTCCCTCAGGGTGCCTCTTACCGCAGCCGCACTCGAGCCAACACCGGGCCCCTCCCAGGCCTGAAGCGCGCCCGCTGGCCCGCGGCCCAAGAAGACGGTCAGGAAGAACGCCCCCTCGCCGAAGGCTGCTGACGCCCCTTCTGCGGCGGCGAAGAAGAAGGCTTCCCAGCCGAAGGCTGCTGCCGCCCCTCCTGTGACGGCCCCCGCCGCCTTTGGTGCGGCGGCCCCCAAGGCCACTGACCAGGCGGAAACTCCCTGGTGGCAAGTAATTGGCCGCAGGGCCAGGAAGGGCAAAAAGACAGCTGCCGGCCTCCAGGCGGTCTCCAAACCCAGGGCGCTCACCACCTCGAATTCATCGGCGGTGGTGATCACCCTGAGGCCTGAAGCGGTGGCGAAAAAGGGGGCCAAGTACAAAGGGGTCCTCGAGGCGGCGACCGCGGCTGTGGACTTGGGCGGCGTCGGCATCCAGCACGTGCGGGTGCGGAACACCCAGATGGTTGGTGCCCGCATAATCGAGGTGCCCGGGGTGACCAGCGCTGGGAAGGCCGACACCCTGGCGGCCAAGCTGGAGGAGGTGATCGGGGGGCTGGCGGCAGTAATGCGGCCTACCAAATCCGCCGATTTGAAGGTCACCAGACTTAAACGAGTCGGTGACCCCAGAGAAGATCCGGACGGTGGTGGCCGCGAAGGGCCAACGCTCCCAGTCCCTTGTGAGCGTAGAAGCTGTCAGGTTGGCCCCCAATGGGAGGAGCTCAACACTCGTTCGCTACCCAGTAGCGGCAGCCCAATTGGTGGCGGCTACCGGCCGCCTGTTGGTGGGGTGGTCCTCTGCCAGGGTCCACGTGATGGAGCCTCTCCCCATGCGCTGCTACAAGTGCATGGGGTTGGCCACACCAGAGCCCTCTGCCCTTCCAGTGTGGACAGAAGCGGGCTCTGTTTCAGGTGTGGCCAAACCGGATACTCGGCCTGCGGGTGCACGGCGACCCCGCGGTGCTCCGTCTGCACCGCGGCTCGCCGACCAGCGGGCCACCTAATGAGGGGGCGATCTTGCGCTCCTCCCCCCACAAAGGGCAAGCCGGCGGGGACCCCAGGCGCCCCCCCTGTTGAGGGACAGAGTATGGACGAGTGATGCCAGCACGCCACCACACAATACTGCAGGGCCACCTCGACCACTGCACCAGGGCACAAGACCATGGCGGAGTGGGGGGTTGCGGTGGCAGTTGTGGCGGAGCCATACTTTGTTCCCCCACGGGGAAACTTGGCGGGGGATCGGGAGGAGACGGTGGCCATAGTGGCGTCGACTGCCGGGAACTCCCCCATCTAGTGGTGAAGGAGCGCGGGTCAGGGTTTCGGGGCACCGAGGTGGGGAGAAATCACCCTAATTGGGGGTACTTCTCTCCAAATCGCTCCCTGGCCCAAATTCAAGCGTTCCTGGAGACCCTAGAGAGGGCAGTGAGGAGGGCAGCTCCGGCGCCGGTGTTGATGATGGGGGACTTCAACGCCAAGAGCGCTGCGTTGGGTTTCCCGGTCAGCAATGCCAGGGGGCCAGAGTTGGAGAATTGGGCGGCAGTCTTAGGGCTAGTCATCCTCAACCGGGGCCATGCCAACACGTGCGTTCGGCGAAATGTCGGGTCAATCGTGGACGTCACGTTTGCGACCCCCTCGCTAGTGGCGCGAGTATCCGGTTGGCAGGTCCTGGAGGACGAGGAGACCCTCTCCGATCATAAATACATACGGATGAGGGTCTCCCATATGGGCACTCACGCGCCTGTGCTTGCAGAGGAAGCAGCCATGGTCCAGGCGTTGTCGACGTGGAACAGAGGGCGGTCAAGTTCAGGGAAGATTTGATGGCCGTCTGCGAGAGGGCCATGCCCAGGGCAAGAGGGGCCCCGGGAAGAAAGAGTGTGTATTGGTGGACCGCGGAGATTGGGGACCTCCGCACCGCCAGTACCATGGCCCGGCGGGCCTATGGCCGATGCCGCCGCAGGCGTCACACCCGAAGTGAGGAGAGAAGGTCGCGATAGGACGGGCCAAGGACTGCAGGACACTCTGGACGCAGACCCTTGGGGGAGGCCGTACAAGCTTGTGCGCAACAAAATGTACGGTGCATCCCATGAGGTGGTGGAGGGCCTCTTCCCTGAACCGCAGCCCTTCACCCCACCGGCCATGGTGCCCCCTAGAGCAGAAGGGGGGCAGACTGAGGAAATCCCCCCGGAAATCACCGAGGGGGAGATGGAGTGGGCGGTGGGACGGCTGCGGGGGCGGAAGAAGGCCCCCGGCCCGGACGGGGTACCGGAACGAGTCCTCCGCGTTGCCCTGAAGCATCTCGGGACCCGCCTCAAGCAACTCATGGACGACTGTTTGAGGACGGGGTTGTTCCCGCAAAGGTCAGTCAACTCTGTTGCCCTTCTGCCTCCCTTCAACCCCGCAAGTGTCCATAGTTTTGTCATCAGGGTTCATTACGTAAAAAAGTATTGCCCGCTTAAAAGCTAGTGATCGTAGTCGATAAATATTGTATGGACTATCAACTGAATGCTAATGCAATGAAAGTCCGCATTTATTTACGAATCATCAGAGGCCCATTATTCGTCCAACTACTGGGCACAGGCCAATTGTTGTAAGTTCATACATACTTGTATAGGCACTGCATTTACACGTGCGGCTAAAAGTCGCCGGGTGTAATCGTCCTAAGGGTGCTGGCAAGTCACAGGCAGTATGGGATTTTCCAACTTACGTTTGAGGGTGACGGGCGCAGTGGCTCGCTTGCCACCGGGCGCGCGACTTATGCGTATCAGACATTTGCATATTTTTAATCTGCATTTCCATTTGACACTCGACCGCATTAGAGAAAAATAAATTATAGCTTTCGCCGGGAAGTCGAAACCGCGCGGTACTGACCCACTGGTGCTCCCAGCGCCAGAGCAGCAGCGCCGGCCCGAAGCTGCGTGCCGGATTCATGCTGGCGCCCGTGGCCTCGCCCTGCAAAGGCAGCCGTTACAGCGGGGGATCGCGACGCGGGCGGGTCTCGCGGGCGCCAGCCGCGGCTTCGAACTGACCAGCGCGAGCGACAGCGCGGCCACGGCGGCGCCGAGGCGCAGCGGCCACGAGTCGCCGCGGCCGGCCGCGCGCGGGTCCCAGTTGGCGCAGTTGGCCAGCACCAGCAGCGCGCCCGCCAGCGCCTCCAGCAGCAGCGCCGAGAGGGGCCCCCGGCCTTCGCCCGGCCGCGTGACGCAGGCGGCCGCGTCG